AGAGAGAGAGAGAGAGAGAGAGAGAGAGAGAGAGAGAGAGAGAGAGAGAGAGAGAGAGAGAGAGAGAGAGAGAGAGAGAGAGAGAGAGAGAGAGAGAGAGAGAGAGAGAGAGAGAGAGAGAGAGAGAGAGAGAGAGAGAGAGAGAGAGAGAGAGAGAGCCTGTAAGGCACAACGGAACGAGTGAGTTCCGTAACAACGATCGGTGAGCGCCGCCTACCACTATAAGCAAAAAGGCTGGCGGCACGATTTTGAAAGATAAAAGGTCCTCTCGTAAAACTGCTTTATTGTGTTCATATAACCTCATCTGTGGTAGATATTTCAAGGAATCCCTCCTATTATGTGCAAACATAACATATTGTATGAGAAGACCAGGTGGTGCGTGGAACGCGCAGATGGGCTAGTGTAGCTCAGTCCGCAAATGCGCCCAACCCCAACACCAGATGACTGATCGGCTCGTACAGTGGACTGGTGCATGGGAGAGGGAAGATAGAGTGACGTAGACACTGAAGAAGTCATTCCGGCCACCTATCAACCACTTCATCGCTATAATAATTATAGGTGACTTTCAAACCGCCATGATGAGCAAAAAGTCTCGGCCTGTAAGGTTGCCAACTAACGGGATAACTCGGTTCAGCGGCCGGTAATGAGTGTTTGTGTGGAGTGGACGGACGAGGTCGAATGTGGGATGTGTAGAAGGTCTTATGCGGCTCCGTCAGCCACTGTGCCCAAGCCCATCTTCCTCCGTCCTGACACCGTCGTGCCTTCGGAACTGAGCGGATAGCGTGGTGGATGCTGCGAAAACTTGCCTTGCAATGAAAAAATTCACGCGCATGGCACTGGCACTCCGCCAACTCCGTGAGGCACACGGTGCACGTCGTTCGCAAGTAACGGTCGGACTTTCATAGCTAAGGAAGTGCTGAAAAAGTGGAAAAAGTTGCACAATCTGTTTGGTTAGATAGGTGCATAGTATGCAAGATTTCGTTGTCTGTAGTGGAAACCAGCCTCCCTCTGCCTCCTATCTGTGGTTCACGGAGGCTTGGTTCTGCCTAGTGACAACAACGCCGCAACCGCCTCAATCAGCGGCCTAAAACAGATGAGAGCATCCTGTGTTGTGTCCCCAAATCGCGTAATTCCGCTCCCCTTCCCACCCCTGCTTCGCCCCTCCTCACTCTCAAAGATTCCTACGGGTAAGATGAAATGCAGTCCCACAGACCGTCCAGGCTACCTCAGATTGCTCTCCCACCAAATCGAGCCGTGACCCACAGTGTCTCAGCAGCCCTATTTAAGGACAGCACTGCTTACCTCCTCGCAGGGGAAGGGGATAGAAAAGATGTCCTAAGTAGTTGTCGGGAGATTACGCCACCTGAACACAGACAGTGGCCCGCTGATGTACAAATCGCGGTCGAAACAATCGAACAAACAACAACTCACGCCACAATCACTCCCGAATCCACCTCACAGGCTATAAGGGTGGGTCCGCTCACTCTAGCAGTCTGCAAGGTTTGTTCTATTTTATACACCCCGAGGGGAAAGCAGGCATCCGAGAAAAGAACAGCGAAGACTGTGGCAACAGTCGACGAAACCAACCGGATCGCCGCTGACACAGCCAAAAGAGCGGCTCGAAATCTCAAGCGACTCTGATCAATAACGTCAACATGTCCAAACTGCCAGCGAATATTCTGTTCTCGAATCAGCTTCTTTGGACATCTCCGATTACTCTGAAGTATCAACTCAACAACCCCACCGACTCTCATGGCGTCCACGACGACAACCACACGCAACACCGGCCTCAGCCGACGTCGTAGACGTCCACCATATATATCATCCCTGCCCTAACCACCACCACCACCACCACCACCACCACCACCACCACCACCACCACCACCACCACCACCACCATCCTCATTGCGATCGCAACTTCACCTCACGCATAGGTTCGGTTGGCTAATTGCGAATGCCCACCGAAACCGGCGCACCAGTACCAAAGGCCCCAACATACACTAACCGCATCCATCCACAATATAGCACCGCCCACGCACATACAACCACTGCATTGGCTTATTCGACTAATGCGTGTCCACAACAACGGAATTCGCAGCAATCTCGGCGAACCATGCACATCTAACACACGCGGATACTCTTCATCCACAAACGCACCCAACGCTAGCAGCAGCATCATCGCAGCCAACTCTGCCGCTCCCAAACAATCTTACCCACGGTGCTACCGCCCATGCACATGACGCATCGACCTGGTCGGTCACTTGCAAATCCATCGCACAGGGACTGGCGGGTCAGTGTCTGGGGCACTAACATGCACCAGACGTCATCGCCTCAGATTTCTGCATTTCCCTCGCACATTCAGCCTTCACATGGGCGTATTCGGCCACATGCGCCTTCGTGCCTATCTGCAGCAGACCATCACAGACCCAAACCCATCACCATATACACCACACACGAAACCCTTCTCTAGCACCCACTACAGGCTCGGAACAAGCAGTTTCCACACTAGTAGGAAGCCTGATTCTCAGCTCCTTCTCCAGGCGACCCCTCTGTTACTCTAACACACTTAAGGTCCAAGCAGTCTGCCCCCTTTATGCGAAGCCAGATTGCGTTGTGTGCATGTGGCACGCGCACACGGGACGTTTTTCGATTTGTCAGTCACTGCGCCCAACCCCCACATCGGTTGGTTGACTGGCTCGGACCGTCTGTTGGTACACAGGAAAGAGAGAGAGAGAGAGAGAGAGAGAGAGAGAGAGAGAGAGAGCGAGAGAGAGCAGAAGAGAAGGAGAACTTGACCCTCAGCGCATTTTCCTGACCACATGACGTGCTTGAAGCTATCACGGTGCGCTAAAAGCCGCGGCTTGGAAGGCCACCAACTGACGGGATAACTCTGACTCTCAGGGCGGAGAGTCAGACTGAAACAGCTCTTTGTTACTGTGGCCTCAGCGGCACGCGTGATATCCGAGCTGCTCGCGCTGTCTTCTTGTGCAAGACCCTGGCCCTTTGTGCGAGGACCAAGGATGTGGCGGCACGCCTGGTCGCAGGCTCATGCCGCGCCAGCCACCTACGTCATCTCTCACCTCCCATCTCCCTGATTCTGTCACGAAATCGGACCTAAGTGGGTGAGGAGGAGTAATTGCGTGAGGTGCTTCAAAGGTCTACAATCACCATAAACTAACTCACGCGCAGGTCACCGTCCCGGCACTCACCCGGCTGTGGGGCACATGGTGGACATTGTCGGAAACGACGGTTGACTGATCTTTGAATTGACTGACTGGAGGACTGAGATTCAGGCTCAATGGCTTCTTCTCAGCGTGGCCTTTCTGGTATTCTTGCGTACTCGAGATCCGAGATGCCCTGACTAAGGCCTGCTCCATGCGGCGAGGACCAGGTCGTGTGTGGCTCGCGCAGAGGCTCTCTTTAGTCTTTTCACCCACTGCGTCCGTGCCTACCTCTGCTTGTCTGGACTATGTCTTGTCATCATAACTTGATGGGTGAGAAAGTACGGATTGCGGCTGATACTGTGCAAGTCTTTCCCACTCTAAACTATCTTGCGCTCAAATTACCGTCCCTACACTCGTTCATTAGCGCCCACGGCACAAGTCGTTGCTTGCAACGGTCGAACTTTCAAATATTAGGGAATAAGTTAGCGTAATGAATGTGGCCGATAATAAGCTAGCTCCAGTAGTTCAGTAATCCGCACGGTTTGGTTTGGTCCTGTGAAGATCCGCCGGCGTTCGACGCCGATATTCCGGTGACTGCGGATATGCATCTGGTATAAGGAAATGCATGCCAAATTCTGTGGTTCCGTTTAATCATTGTCTCCCGTGACTTGCTTCTTCCAAAGCCTAATTAAACCAGTAATTAAAGTACTGGAGGGTCTGTTTCTATTGAGCTGATCACACAGATATGAGATATCTGTACCATTTGCCCCCCCCCGTTGTGGTGTAATTTGCACGTATTGCTCCGTACACTGTCCTCACGCAAACTTTATTGCGCGCTTGCGGCTGGTTACTATAACAGTTTCAACGACCCTTCTGCATTTATTTGTTGCCAGCTCGTCTGTTCATTGTAGATGTTTCCAATCCGGCCCTTTGTCAACATTGAATTTGATAACAAGCACGACATAAAGATAAATGTTGATAAGGTGATACCGACAAAGACAAGGGAGACCGGAATGGCCATTTCTGGCTTATTAGCCGTCATCAGCCAGTCATACCCAACCCCAAGTGTGGATCACTTGAGATTCGAACCCGGGATCTTTGGTCATGGAGTTTGACGCTCTACCATTGAGCCACGGGCCCGTTGTCCTGTCGGTTGTGATCGGGAATATCAATTATGGCAGATGGGCGCTCACCGATCAGGTTACAGAACATGCTTGTTCTGTTGTGCCTTGGGGCTCATACTTAAACCCTCGCAGGCAGTCGCACAATGGTAGAGCGTCAAACTCCATGACCAAAGATCCCGGGTTCGAATCTCAAGTGATCCACACTTGGGGTTGGGTATGACTGGCTGATGACGACTAATAAGCCAGAAATGGCCATTCCGGTCTCCCTTGTCTTTGTCGGTATCACCTTATCAACATATATTACTAGTCGCTGTGCGACTGCCTGCGAGGGTTTAAGTATGAGACCCAAGGCACAACAGAACAAGCCTGTTCTGTAACCTGATCGGTGAGCGCCCATCTGTCATAATCAAGATAAATGATGAAATGCTCACACAGCATTCTTCAGAATGAGCACAAAAGCCTCATCGACATATCAACACTAAATAACTTGCTTGCATTCCTGAGAGCCCCGACTTTCCAGCTGTAGCAGCACCAGTTTGGCGATTAGTCCGGAGATTTGAGAACCCGCGGGAGTCCTTTAATCTGATCGTACGCCACACCTGATAATGTAAGATGGTTTCTTCGGCAGAACCCGAGCAGTTTTATTGTGTTTTTTACCCTGGAGAGACCATCGAGTAACGTATGCTGTGAATCATGTGCCAGCGTCTGGTAAATGGATGTGAAGACCGAAGTGGCATTGAGTGAGCAGAAGAAGAAGAGGAGGAGGAGGAAGAAGAAGAAGAAGAAGAAGAAGAAGAGGAAGAAGAAGAAGAAGAAGAAGAATAATAAGAAGAAGAAGAATAAGAAGAAGAAGAAAAAGAAGGAGGAGAAGAAGAAGACCATTGGACGGCGGGAACGTTACTTGTAGTAGTTGCGAAAAGAATCTAGGACTCACACATTCGCCCATATTGTTTAACCTGGTTGCCGTGTTGACCTTTCCGAATACCTGAAGGTCGATTTGAGAACGATATGAACGTTGTGCCGCGTAAACTACTGTTCCCAGCAATGTACGTCGGTCTGACCGATTACTTCGCCGCGCAGCCGGGTTGCCGGCCTAGACGCTGCCTGCTGCCAGTAGGAAGGACTACGACCACATATCAAGGCCAAGAAAAAGGCGTGCGCTAAAACACCCACACAACCTATGCTAAGTTGGCATATAAAGGCACGTACAACATAGACGCGATCACGCTGCGCAAGCTGAGAAATGACAAAATATCGACAAATGGGCAATCGTGCTAATTTGTTTGCTTGCGTGCGCGTGCCTCGCGCTTTGGTGTGTGAAGGCATGCGGACGACAGTAGACGTAATAACGCAAAGTTAGCCCAAGTGTGTGGCTCGCCTAGAAGCTCTCTTTAGGTTTGTCAGCCTCATTGTTCCTACTGGGCATCGTCCGTTGAAATCGACCATCGAATTGCCATACGTGTAATTGCGGCTGCAGCCTTAGGGACTTCCGTTACGCAAGTTTACAACATAAACGCATGTGAGCAGTGCGAATGATGTACGGTGGTTGGATAGTACACCTGGAACGATGTGTGAGTGCGTGAAAGACAGAGAGGGCAAAGACTTCTCCTAATCAACGGACAACCAAAACGCAGTGAGAAATTTTGCTTTTATTGACAGAACTTGTAACAAACTGCAGGGCACTTGAGTGAGGTTGAAATACGAATAGGCGTTCCCCACGGCCACCCGAACCTAGGCCCTTTTACAGCCAATGACCACTATCCTATTCCTGTACGCCATGATTTTAAGTGGGCAATTTAAGTGTGTTTTCAGCTAAGGCCTTCGCATAGTCATCCTGTGAACAAATATACACGCTGGGATTGACGAGGTAGTATGCAGCAGGAATAGACTTTGGGACGCGATGGAGGCGTTAGCATAGTAAACTATACTTTTCAGATTAGTTTCATCCTCTTACAAATCCTCTCCTCTTAAATGTGACACTGTTGTCGTGACTGATGCTGTCAAAGGGTGTCGATGAGTCGACAACAAAAAGTTTGCCAAATCAAAAGTCAGGGGGACAGGGTTGGTAGGACAACCTTTACTGCGCCAAGAGAGCATACTGGTGGCTCAGAAGGCAGCGGCAGTCATTGTAAGAAGCCGAGACCTAGGCCTTGATGTTGTTAGTCCCGGCGCGAGGTGCGTGCGTGGGTCGGCGCATTGTCCGGTTGCGGCCAATCGCTGTAGGCGAAAATATCGATTGGCGTCACAGCGTGGGTAAGCCGAAGGGCGAGCCACACGCAACGCAGTCAGCAGGCAAAGGGGACGCGGTCGTTGTCGTCATGCCGAGTACCCGACTGCATGTTTCATGCAAGAATAGCGGCATGACTTAGGTCACATTGAGGTTCATTATGAAGTTCGTAAACTGCCGTATGTTAGTTTTCGAACACGGATTCATTGGTGCAGATTCAGCAGACATTGAACAATATCTTCAGAATAATGGTGGTATTATACTTTGTCAGTGACCCAGAAGTCCAGCCCACAAAGTCCTCAGAGGATACCTGAGGTCATGGGAACAGCCTGGTGGGAACTAAGAGTGTGTACTCAGCCTCCCCTATTCCACGGTCCCAAGAACTTGCGCATAAACGTCCGACTCCTGCCAGTGTTTAATCAAAACGAGCAGAAATATTAGAATTATGGCAAATACTCCCAGTGGTTATCTTATTTTCATAGTTGTTCTGTACCACGTGTTGGTGACTAATGTTCATTTTTATCTCGGCTTTTATGCTAGTGCTTAAAAAGTGGATATGAAGACGAAAATGACCTAGTGTGTGAGTTTAACTAGGCACTATCATTTCTTCAGCTAACAGGTCGCTGTGATTAGGCAACCGTAGTTTGACTACATGAAGTCTGGCATCCGCATTACCGTCGAGGCTGTTCTTAAAAATTCTGGACTGTTGGACCTAGTAAAGAAAATTAGCAGTCGAATCTAGAAAGTAGAAATACAAAGCCTTCTGTATGGAAGATTCGGATTCCTTGCGTGATTTAATAACTGATTAACGCACTGATCGCTGGTACAGGTATTTCCTGTCTTACCTATACTCTTCAATTTTTAGACACTTGCCGTTTTGGACTCCCAAGTATCCAAACAGGCTTGGAACTGTTTTTCCCATGCATTGACAATTCGCGGCCTATTTACTTTGCAGTCCCAAGAACTGTCATTATTACTGAAAGTCGCACCTGTTCCACTTTTGACGCACTTATATTATTCCATTTTACTACATGCAGTACCTTTTGCAACTCGGAGGTCAGGTGGCCAGAGTGTCGGCTCTACTCAAGTTTTCCACTTGCTGTCGTGGATTCGAACCCCACCGAGGTCGCTGAGCTTTGAACAGTTGGGTCGAAACGAGTTAATCAAAATCTGCCAAACACATATTAATTACGTGAGCCTGATAGTCATCTGGTGGGTCCTAGATTGATTACTTAGGAAATCCTGCTTGGAAAGTCAGTCTACTGTATCCGATTTGATGGATTGCATAAGTTCCAGAAGTTCCAGTAGGCTGGGCGGGCAACTTGACCCAAATGTGATTAAACTCACGGCTCCAGATGAGGTGCATAGAGCGTTGGCTGTGCTCAAGCCTTGTTTTTGTTGTCGTGGGTTCGGATCCTACCGAGCTCGCCAACTTTTTCCCAGTTGGGTGAAAATTAATCATAGAATTTTTACAGAAATCCATAAAATATTGCCTTGTCGAGGTTCGCTGGTAGACAACACAAGGTTTACCAAATCAAAATTCAGGGATACAGGGTTGGTAGGACGACGTCTGATGCAGCAATGCGGAAGGCAGTGGCAGCAATTGTTCTACCAAACAGTGTCAGCCTTTGGTGTTTTCACTCACGGCACGAGGTGCATGCGTGCGCCTGAGTTGGAGTCGACTGCGTCCAATCGCTTAAGATAAAAATATCGATCGATGTCACGGTGCCGGCAAGCCGTTGACTAGCAAGGGGGGTCGGTCACTGTGACCACATCGAATGAACCGCCAGAGTACCATCAGTTGTGCGTAATTGCTACGGTTTCTTTCTATGTACACTCGGTTTACGTCAGAAGTCACTTACACCTTGATATAACTCCTTGCCCACTGGCATGCTCTTTCTAATTTGTCTTAAAATTATGATGATGGCTACTTTCCGCCACGTCCTTTCCCGACGTATATGCCTTGTGATGGAATGTGATGCTTAACGTACATTCTACACTCTACATTACCCTGTGAAGGCAGTGCTAACGAACCTAACAACCGCAGGGCTCCCCAGCGAGGGGTTCGCAAGCACTGCAGGGATGAATAGGGTCTAGCAGTAGGACAAACGCCCTTATCCAAATATATAATATTTATTTTCTCTGCGGGTTTGCAGATATCATAATGAGCCTTGGACGCCATAAAGAGAAACACATTAGCATAACGATGACAGTGAAGTACGCCTAAGGACAACCTGTGGGAACTAGGTGATGTGGCATCGTCATCGCCCTTGGTAGGTTGCTAACAGTGATTTTGATGGGAATGACACATAGGACTTAGCTTATTTACCATGTATGTAATGCATTTCTACATGTAGTTCTATAGAGGATAGTTAGATTCATCGAATGTTTCTATTTGCAGGCGCAAATGGACAAGGACTCATAGAACAAAAGCATAAGCCTGGTACCATATGCACCAGTCCGCTGATTTTGAAAATTACTGCTTTAATTTTCGTCACCAGAATATTATTGAGGTTCTAAAGACGGTCCACCATCTGACGCCTTTGCGACAGAACAGACGTTCCACGAGTTTATCAACTAGCAAGAAGTTTCATTTGGGCCGAAACTGCCTATGACTGACATGCCGATGCACGCATATTCCCGTCCACTGTAAAAATTTTACCTCGTATTTCTTCTGTCATGGGAGTCGTCGACCGATTTTTGCTACACAATCCGCGCTAGAATAATTACTATAAGTACAGAAGAGGACTGGTCGAGCATTGGAACAGTAAGATTAATTTTCTGAGCATTCTAACTCGTGCAGGAGTCCACCGTCAGATGTAGTGGCAACAACTGGACGAGCGACGATTATAGAGGGTGCTGGCTAATCATCGATCGACGGCTCAAGACAGGAGGTGACTTTTCAGGGCTTTGCACATCGGCGCCAGATCGATAAATCTATTGACTGAGTTCTCATCCAAGGGCCAGGCTTCAGTCAGTTATCAACCTATTTTATTTCTGAAGTGGGTGATTATCTTGGTGACTGCAAAGTTTAACTCATGAACCATTTCGTAGGTGTGGGCAACCACTTACGATGATTCGTTGCCTCCTCGCACAGCCAGCTTGTGTTCGTGTATGCGCGATCCTGGCATGCGTCCAGTCTGACCTGTATAGTTACATGAACAGTTTTGACAGAGGATGTGATACACTATCTCAGAGTACGTCTTGGGATTCAATAAGTTTTTAATTTTCATGACTTAGTTGTGCATGATGGCTTTGGGCCCTATAGTTGTCGCTCGTTCTGTTGTTGCTGCTCTATCTGACGGTGGACTCCTGCACGAGTTAGAAAGCTCAGAACAATAATCATACTGTTCCAATGTCCGACCAGTCTTATTCTTTACTCGTAGTAAATTCAATGCCGCCAATAGTTTACTTCTGTGACTAATGGATAGCCGCGGGTACTTAAATGATCGCATGGATCTGCTGATGATTGACATTTCTACTGAATGCTGAGGCAGAAACGATACCAAGTCTCTTAGTTTAATTAATAATTGTAGTCGACCGAATTGCTTGAACCGGTTGCTCAGACCACTCTTTTAGATGCTCGTGAAAATCTAGTGTTGCTTAACCTCGACCAGCAGTGTTAAGTGTACGAAAAGGGAAGGAAGGATTAGCTGGAATCCTGAACTCAGGAGTCCAGAAGTGCCTAAGGGCGTTTAAGCGCGTGATCGTAGTCTGGTAAATCATTCCCTCTGGCAATTTGTCCGCAGGCAGAGGCAAAAAACAGCAATTGTCTTGGCCTCTTGCTTCTGAAAAGGACAACTCGGGGCTGTATGGAAAAAGGTGCGGACGGGCCAGAGCTGGCCTACCGTCAAAAAATTTTTGCAGAAGACTGCGGAGGCGCGCTTGTTGTCTGAAGCGCAAAAATACGAATGACGTTGTTAGGACGACGTGCCGCACGCCGCAGCCTTGTCTGACTTACCCTTTTTCCCACTCAATCTCACTAACATGCGCTCAGCCGACGTATGCAACCGTGCGTACTAAAATTCAAAGCGGGAATCTTTGTCATCACCACAGCTGCAATAGATGAGGTTGGGGAGCAAAAATAGCTAGCCACCGCCCCATGCCTCTGCCTCTCCCCCAAACACCGACGTCGGTCCGACTCTCCACGCGATCTTACGCGCGCCCGCGTGCATGTTTGTTTTTCTAGGCTCGGTACAGGTCTGGCCGACTGCCAAAACCGGACGGACGCACTACCTGTCTGCGCACTCACGGCTGCCGCAAGGGTGGTATCGCGTTTGCGCCTTTACGCTCGCTCGCTCGCTCGCTCGTTGTCTCAGTTACTCCTGGAGTGATGGCTTTGGGCTAAGGCAGAAAAGATCGATCGTTTTATGCTCGCATCGCGCACGAAACACGTGCGGCGCTATCTGATTGTAGGACGGAAATGGGCCTTGGCGTTTTGCCTTTAGAGCTGAGGCCACACAGCTCCCGCAGACCGTATCATAACTTCTAGCAATCGATAATCGAGAAGCCTTGACGAAAAAACGGGGGCACTGAAGTCGCTATTTCTGATTACTTGGACCAAAAGCCAGGTTACATGTCATTCCGTCGATCATCAGGCGACGGCAAAACAAACGTATAGCATTGCTAATCCAACTGAGCGAAGCAGCGCAAAACAACCAGGCGGGTAAGGTGCTCTCCGACTAGAACACGCAAGCGGCGGACCCACGTTCTGGGCTTTGGTGTGTACCTGCGCTTGTCGTCAGATAGTGGCTCATTTGCACATGTAGTAGGGTCATTGATACCTAACACATCTGCCTTACAGTTATGGTTGCCAACGTCAGTACTGATAGCCAAACACTTATACTTGCCTGTATGTGTGCGCGTGACATAGAATAGGCGGTTTTTTTTTCTCTCTCTCTCGTGACAGTTCGACCGTTGTTGCCGACGGTGCCCACCGTGCGCTCCGCTACAAGGTGGAGCAGGGACGGTGACCTGGGTGTAATTTAGTTTGTAGTGACAGCAGACTTACACAGCAGCTCCGCACTCTCTCATCCTCCCCCACCTGGATCCCGTGTCAAGACATAGTCAAGAAGACCGGAGGCCGGGAAGGGCGCAGGTCGATGGCACGATCGAGTCCTCACCTTGGCGCTCCACTCCATACCCTCTGGTCCACACATCAAATGACCAGGATTTTAACCAACAACAACAACAACAACAACAACAACAACAACAACAACAACAACAACAACAACAACAACAACAAAAGGGGCTGGCGCGGCCAAAGTTGCACCCAGGCGTGCCGCCACACCTGGTTCGGATCCCACGGAGTGGGAGTAGCATAAAGGCCACATTAAGAATGAGGCATTGCAGCCTGGCTCTTAGACCACTAGCCGGCAACTCCACACAAACACACAACACTGGACCGTCTGAAAGTTCCAAGTTCTCGCGTCAGTTGAAAACCCTCCAAGCCACGACTTTTAGCGCACCGTGATAACTTCAAGCGCGTCAGATTGTTTGTAGTGAAGAAAATGCGTTGAGTCGTCGACCTAACTCTCCCTTCTCATTCCTAGGCTCCAGTCACTGTCCGAGCCGGTCAGTTAACAGGTGTGGGGAGTGGGCGCGGTGTCTGACATATCCAGTGACCTTGTCTGCGCGCGCCACACGCTCGACCTGGCCCCCCAAACGTCAGCACCAGGATTTCACTCAACGGTGGTTCGGCGGCGTACTTCTCACATGCGTGAGAGTGCCGTAGGTCACGTTTAGAAGGAGCCGCATCAGCCTGGCTCTCAGCCCACCAGTCCACCTTTCCACATACACATGCGCACAACTGGACAGACTGCGTGGACTGAGGTGGGGCGTCAATCAGCAGCCGTCCAAGCCACCGCGTTTGACGCGCCGTGATAGCCTCAGACTTAAATCGCACATGTAGTAGGGGGCGCATGGCGACGGAGCCGAGACGCACAATTCCCACTTGCGTGGAAGGTGGCAATTGTATGCCTGTGGTGGATGATGATGTTGCGTGATGTAGGTGGAGGAAGGTGTGATGGTGTGGTTTAACTGGCGGTTTTCTACCGCAGGTTTTCGTGAATGCGCATGTGGCCTAATAGGCCATGCGGTGGGTGATTGTGCGGCTGCAATGAGAGCACTTGCGGCGGATGCGTCTGATGTTTGTTGGCGCTCCAGGCACTGGGTCGCCAGTCTATGTGCGATGGATTCGCAAGCGACTGACCAGGCCCATGCATGAGTCGAATGTACGGGGCAGTGTAGACAGGAATAGTCGGCAGTGTCATTGTTGATTTCGGAGATGGTGGCAGTGGTGGAGCTGCTGATGGTGGGCGCGACGGGCGATGGGTGTGCGTTGGGACAAGTATGATGGGTGTGCAAGATGTGTTGAGTGTGGTGGAGCTGATGGTGGTGGGTGTGCTGGGCGGCGGGGTGTGGGTTGAGCTAGGCATGATGGATGTGCAAGAAGTGCTAGGCGTGTCTAGACTGCGGCCAATTCCGCCCTCGCGGATACGCATGCGACCGAATAGATCCATGCGGTTAGTGAATGTGCGGGGCTGTGCGGACAGTGAATGCGAATGCGACGAATGTAGGTTGGTGTTCCAGAAGCTGGTTTGCCAGTCTCTGTGCGTCGGATTCGCGATTGACCGACCAGACCGATGTGCGAGGTGAATGTGCGGTCGCAATGAGGACAGGTATGGATTGAGTCCAGACCGCTGGTGTTGTTGGTGGGGGGTCGATGTTGGCTGGAAGTTGAGGCAATGAAGGAGGAGGAGGAGGAGGAGGAGGAGGAGGAGGAGGAGGAGGAGGAGGATAGTGGTGGGGGCTGGGGAGCGCGGTTAATGTTAGTTATCGATGTATAGGATGAAGCAGAGCTAGACGAGGAGACAGCAACTGGTGTAATCCGCATGTTGCAGTTAGTACGAAGATGTCCTACACGGCCGACCGGTGCCCCAAACGCCTGCTGGCAGCGCGGGCAGATCGGGGGTTGGTTTAACGTTGACGTCGAGAGAAGGGCGCAAGTGGGATTTACGAGTCTCGTGTTGGGCTGTGGCGAAGGTGATGCGGTCGAGCGTTGACGTTGCCAGGTGGACGCAGCTGAGATTTGCAAGGTTCTCGTTTGGACTGCGCAGAGGCGATGCGGTTGGCTTCGTAGACCGCTGCGCCTGTCTTCACTGTCCTGCTCCAGGCCGGTCGGTCTCGGGCGAGGTCTTCCCAGTTGGCCGGATTGATCTGCAGATGCTGCAGAGAAGTCTTCAGAGTGTCATTATATCGATGGACTTGGCTTCCTTGTCGGCGGGAACCCGTGCCAACATCTCCATAGAAGATTCGTTGGGGCGGCCGCTCCAACGCAGTTGCATCTGTCTCAGCATGGCGTAGATGCTGAGGATTCCCATCCATTCCAGTACATCTGTGTCCGGGATCCGGTCCTGCCAACTCAACTTAAGTATCCGTCGAGGACAGCTGAGGCGGAAGTGATTGAGTCTTCACGCATGCTTCGTGTAGACCGTTCAGGTCTCCGCTCCATACAGCAGCGTCGGCAGGAGGGTCTCCTTGAACATTTTCAGTTTGGTGTTGAGGTGGAGACCGTGGCGATCCCAGACGGCCAAAGGCTTGGCTGGCTTTGGAGATCCAGCGAGCCACTTCATCGTCGATCTTGGTGGTGCGGTGGAGGTTGCTGCTCACTTTGTTCGGAGGCAAGTTCAGTGGGAGACGCTTAGTCTACTTGTCTGACACTCATACGCCTTTTGCGTCTTCGTCCCAAAAAGGGGTGGGCAGGGAGACAGCCTTGCACATCTCCGGTTCCGCGTTGAGGAGAACGCTGAGGCAGTTTTTATACTGGGTGTAGCAGCCTAACAAAGGTTTGGTTGGCTCTAAGTATCTCATTGGTAGTTCCGTTGTTGATCCTAATGTTTTTGAGGATGTAGTGGACAGCTATGATGGCTACGTCGCGCCTCTTGTTAGCGCCTGCACCTACGTTCTAGCGACAGCCTGCTATGGCACGTACGTCTACCCGGCTTCGAGTTGTCTCGTTGCAATTCACTGTCTGAACCACGCATTCGGTCGACTCTCTGCCTGCACCACGCGAGGCTTAACACTACCTTCGCCTGGGCTCGGAGCCAATCAACACAACTCCTATCGCTGATTGGTAAGACAGGCGGGAACAGTCCAGAACAATAGAGTAAACAATCTGCAGCGACACATTTGCAGCGGCGACCTTCGGCGACACAGGGCTCGTCGCTCTCGTGGACGCCGCCTCCGCGGCGCCGAACGCATCCTCGTCCGGTTGCCAACTTTCCCCTTCACTATTCTGTACAGAATAAAGTGTTCTAACCAAATGACGTCCTGCTTCTAACAACTTGGGATGTGGCCTGAAGTTTTAGCGTACTGAGCGTACACCATCACCGCTTAGCCGCTACAAGGACGGTTCCTACTAGGTGTGCAAATTCATTCATAGCTGTGAGGCAAGTTCTATTGATACATACCATTGGCTCGATGTATCCTCTCCATGCTAACGGTCAGCCCGAGTTTTGAGGAGCCGGAGGCGAAGAAGTGCACGTTTCGCTGTATGTCTGCCTCAGCTATAATGTTCATCGAGTTTCCGGCAGTCCGCATTCGTGCTCGTCAACGCGGCAGATTACCCTCGTCACTTTCGTTTCGCCTAGCACGCCTGTCAATCACTGTTTACGCGCGTGTGACCCAGCTCTCAGCTCGCTGACATCGTGACGCGATCGATGCTTTTTCATTCACCAATTGGTCACAGCCATACAAAGCTCAGACGCTGGCACACGCTCCGCGCCTGGGCGAAGGAATTAAATGGCTGACACGGCCAGTGAGATCAGTTGCCGCAGCTACCTGCTGAGCCGCGCGTCCACTCCCTTTTCACCGTAAAGGTTGTCCATCAAACCCCGTCTTTCTGACTTTTGATTCTGGATACATCGGGTTGTTGACCATCGTAATACGAAAAGTGGTGATCTCTTTCTATCGCCAATCTTCCATCTTCCCAATCTGCGGTATAGTCGGACGATGATGGTGGATAACTTTTCACCAGGAGTGTAGCATATTTTGGCACCCACTTCTGCAACCTGCCTTTCATACCAGTGCCCAACCAGGTCATCTGCTCAGTAAGTCCAGCATTCTCCATAAGTTGGAACTAGTACCGCTATCGCTTGCCGGTATATCATCACATTTGGTGCAAAACTTCGTCGCGACAACTCTTCCCACTCGAAGCAGAACCAACAGGTGAAACGAGTCAACCCGAAGATCAGTATAACCAGTCTCTCTGGTTTCTCTGGCTCAGACCACATTTTCTACATATACCACAGTCTGCCTCGCAGACGTTTCTTCGTCGACACCGGAGCTCAGATCAGCATGGTCCCTCAACCTCAGTGTTATGTATACAAAACAGAAGTCTGGTTGTAGACAAGGGCATGTACTGAGCGCGGTAGGCAATACAAGCGGGGAGTCTTAAGCGACACGGCGGAGTACACGGCATGGGGGAACATCACAAGCTGGAGGGTGACTAGGCAGAACAAAGGAGGTCTGGACGCGAATCCGCGACCTTGACCGTTAGCTTGTCACACGCGTGTGGCGTGATGTCTAGACAGTATGGCCAGCATACAATGCATCCGTTTGCCCTGAAGTAGGCAGCATCAAGATGGGCAAAGGTAATCATGAATAATTAACAAATGTTCTAATAGATTTCGTACTGGGAACGTTGGACAGGTTTGCGGATTCGGGTCGATCTTCTCAGGGCGATATTTTCGACCTCTGCGCCACTTTGCGGAGTCCGTGGATCATCCGCCCCTGAGTGAGTGTTGGCCGGGGTAGTAGAATGATTGGACACTCACCTCGGGCGGCTGGGTGATGTTCTGTGCAGTCGGAAGATTTTGTCACTGGGACGTCGGAATCAACACCAGAGATTGGTGTCCGTTCGGACGTCTCGAAGTCTTCCCTTTCTGCGTCGCTGCGGCTGCGTACTTGGTCCAGATATTGGCGCACAGATCTCCCCTCTAAAATCCACTCTGCTATTTGTCCCTCGCTTCTTCGAACTGCTGACGGACACCAGTTCTCTTCGCGTTCCAATCGCGTATAGACATTTTCATTAAGCGCAAAGGTTTGAGGTCGTTTTTGCACGTCTTATCACGCCATCATTTTTATCGTTCTTTAACAACTTTATCCTGCGTTTAAGGATCAAACAGACCGTGTCATGTGTGCAACTGCTGCTTGGACATCAATTCTACAGACGATGAACCCATTGGGTCGTTTTTTTTATTATTCAGCAGGTAAACAAGAAGCGTGACATTTTCGTGGGTAAGCCCTCTTGCGTCTGTTTTATTAACCCCGTGTTTTATTGTCTAAACTGATCGCTCTGCGAGGCCGTTTAAAGCAGCATGGTACAAAACAGCAGCCACATGTCCAATTCCGTTTTTTCCCATCAATTCTTTAAATTATACACTAATAAAAGCCAGACCATTGTCCGAAACTATCATTTCGGGTATTCCAAAAGGTGGAAAAAATGGATCGTACCTTGTTGATTGTAGTCATTGAAGAACAGGAATTTCCAGTAAGAATCGCTTCAATTCACTTTGTGTTGGCGTCAACCATCACTAAAACCATCTATCCCCGCGATGGTCCGAAACAATCCATGACCACCCTTTTCCACAGCGAGTCGTGCCAGGCCTGCGACATCAGGGACACCTTTGGTAAGGTCTCCAGTGTTATTTGACACGCAGGACAAGCTTCTACCATTGCCTCAATATCTGTGTCTATTCCGAGCCATCAAACATGACTGTGGGCGAGAGCTTTCGTTCCATCTGTTCCAGGATGGGAATTAAGTAAGTCTCTGAGGATGACACTTTGGCCTTGCGGTGATACAACTACTCGATTGCCCCAAAGAATGCATCCGTCTTGTGGTATCAGTTCCTCCTGACGGCTGAAAATCAGGGCAGGCAGAGGACGACCAGCCAAATTGCAGTGACGTTTCAACTCAAGCTAGAAGAGGGTCTCTCGACGTCTGCAAAAGATTTACGACCTCGAAAACAGGTGCCCTGCTAATGACCCTGTTAACAACGAGGAGCCTATTCAAGACGTCAGCCATTATGTTTGCATAAATAACGTTTTTTACTGCATATGTGAAAGCCGAAAGAGTGAATGCTCATCATTGCATTCTCCGCGAGAACATTTGTGGTGTTACTCGTTTTTCACTCAGCAAATCTTGGAGGGTTTGTGATCAGTGCGAATCTTGAGTTGTCGGTCAAAAAGATACAAGAGGAAGTGCTGTAGGTCAAACATTATTGTTAAGATTCTTAATATAGCAAAGAATAGTTAGGTTCAGCCTGGAACGTAGTTCTAGATGCGAAAGCAATCGACGTCTCGGCAGCAGAAGGCAGAGGGCGCAATGAATCAGGATAGATGAGGAGGCAAGAACCGTTCTTGCCTTGCTTAATTTCCGAGGGGAAAGCTGGGGGACCCACTGACGAGCCGAACCCCTCGCAGCTGCGTCAGGCAGCGGCACAAGATCGGCGAAACACGCGTGTCTGGGCTTTAAGCTAATACCTGTGTTGTTAGTACGGTAAATTATTCCACAAGAACCGTTCTGCCTGCTCGTAGACATTTGTTCATCCTCCGACTAGTTTTAGGGACGCTTGTTTTCAAGGCGGTGATAAAGGGGCTTCAGAATTTTAACAGATTGATTCATAGTGTGACCAAAGTGGGTGACTAGCCCAAGGAACGAACTCAACTGATTAGTATTGCCAGAGCGCGATGTCGCCTTTTGGGCCTTGAGCTGATGACAGACGGATGGTGGTCACTGCTATCCACTTTAAGGCCGAGATATCCCACCGGGTCAGCGAGAAAAGTATCATTATCTTTCCTGAGTTCGAAACCGGCCCATTGCAGACGTACTAACACAATGTTTATTCTCTAGGTGACCATATTGAGATGGGCCGGTTGTAATCTATCGCCAAGATATGTGCAAAAGTGGGGTATGTCCCTCACAAGACTATCTATTATGCATTGAAATAAACTGGAAACAGAGCTTACTCCACATGATAGTCTTTTATATCGAAACAAATTCCGGTGCGTATTGATAGTGGTAGCGTCTGGGGAGTTTACATTCAGGACGACTTGGTTGTAAGCGGGTTTCACGTCCAAAATTCGAAATAGTTGACCACTGGAGAGAGATGCATACAGATCCTCGATGTGCAGGAGAAGGCAAAGGTTGAGTTTAGTTTCTGAGTTAATCGTCAGCTCGTAGTCGTCACGGAACCATCCGATTTAAGAACAGGGACTACTAGGGCTGTGCCTGCCGAATATTGCACGGTCTCGAAAATGTTCGATTTCTGTAGACGATCCACTTCCTCTTCGACCCTCAAGGCAACGGCATGGTAGGCTGAATG